CTTTGTTTTTTGGGGACTGAGTGTTCAATCTCTAGGCGTTTTCCTTGCAATTCGACTTTCCCTAAAGATTTAAAAAAAAAAAAAAAAAAAGGCAATATAAGAGCTGCAACAGGGGTGTGGGGTGGGAAAAGGACCAAGAGGATAATTCAGGAGTTACTGGGATCTGAGATCTGCCTAGGAATCCAGGCAGTGGGTTCCGTGGCCAGACGCGAAACGGTCGCTCTGGGAATGGTGGAATCTATAAATTCGTTATTGTGTTTTGTTAATTTTCGGTTTGTTGTGTTATCTGAGGCCAGTTGGGTAGTGGATCGCTCTGGGAGCCCGATCTGGGAATGGGGCGACCAGGGCGTTTGTGTGGGCGGGCTGCCTACTCGGCTCCCAGAGCTGGGGAGCTGGGGCCGGGAGAGAAAGGGCTCCCCGTTGGTCCCAAAGTGTGTTGCGGGGGAGGGGTGCAGAATGAAACTTTAGTTTTCGGTCGAGCCGCGGGGCAGGGCTCCTGGCGGCGGGGCGCTCACCTGTCGGGGCCGGGGGCGAGCAGAGGCCCTGGGGGAGCGGAGCGGGGCCCCGCGGGCAGGGTCCCCCGCGGCCGCGGCGCGCGCCTCTCGGCCCAGCCTGGGCGTCTCGGGAAGCAGCATGGCGACCCGGCGCCGCCGCCGCCGCCGCGCCACCCCGCTCACGCCCCACTTTCAAATCAAAATGGCTCAAGCCCAGGCCCTGGGCGGGAGGCGGGACCCCCTTCCTCTCCGGCCCTGCCCGAAGGCTGCCGTCCCCACTGGGCACCCGGGAGATCGGGGACGGAGCGGGGACCTCTTCCCCGCCTGGAAAGGCCTAGGGTGGAGGAAAGGGAGCTGGGGGTGTTCGCGCTGGGGGGCTGGGGGGAGGGGGTCCAGCCTCGAATAGGGAGCGGCGGGCATGGAAATAAGGCCCAGACGGGAGCCGCCTGAGTGGGGACCCCCCCACACACTACCAGTGGGGCCCCCGCCCCGTCGGCGGGGGGTAGGAGCGGCCTTACTAAAGCCTCCAGCTTCTGCTCTGGGGCTGGGAGGAAGGGGTGAGGGGGTCCAGGATATTTCCGCGCGAGGGGCGAGAGCGGGGATGGAGGGGGCGTCGAAGGAGGTGGGCGGAGGGTCGATACCGAGGCCAAGCCCCGCAGGCCGGAGCGAGAGGGGAGTTGGCGGGCAAGGAGAGAAGAGGAGCAGGTCTCCGTTGTTGGGGGATTTCGTCGTGGCTTTTCCGGGGAGGTGGGTGCACTCTTACCGGAGAAAGTTTCGATAGCTTTCATCGCCCAGTGCTCGTCGGGGCAGTCCACGAAGGCATAGCCGGACTTGACCAAGAACTGGCCGCTGTAGGAGATCTTGTGCTCCGCAAACACTTTCTCCAAGTCCGCGGGGGTCACGCTCTCGTTGAGGTTGCCGATGTACAGCTTGTTCATGGTGGCGGTCTCCGGGCGGGACGCGGTCCCTGGCAAGGCCGAGCGGGCGGGCGCGGGCGGCGAGCCTCCTAGGCCGAGAGGCGGGAGGCCGGCGGCAGCAGCCGCAAACTTTCTTTGCACCCCACCCCTGAAGTTGTCCGGAGCCCGCGGCGGGGAGGGCGGCCTGAGGGCGCGCAGAGGTCGCGGGAGAGTTCGGGGAGGCCAGGGAGAAGTGCCCGCGGCGCGCTGGGAGGCGGACGACGCGGCGCTGCTCCTTCCCTTCTGTCCGAAACCCCTCCGAGCGGGCTGGTGTGTCACGTTTCTCCGCGGCCGCCCTGGCGCCGCCTCTAAATAAAATCGACTTGAAAAAAAATGGAGCGGAAAAAAAAAAAAAAGGCGAAGCCACGTGGTGAAAGCCCCCACCCACCCTGCTCGGGAAGACCCCCGAAGCCTCTGGGCCCATCGGCCCTCCAGCCCGGCCCAGCCCACCAATCTCCAGCCTGGGGGGGGGGGCATTCAACTCACCCCCCGGGGGAAACAGGGCGGTGGGGGCTGCGTTCCCGAAGCTCGACTTGCCCCCTCCCCCTTGGCAAGAATCTGGCCCCAAGGGAGGCGCCCCGCCCCCACCCATCCCCCTACCCCGGCCCCGGCTGGGGGAGGGTGGTCGGGCCCAGAATCTCCCACCTCTTTATGGGTAAAACGTACGGTTATTTTTTATTCGTGCGGTGGCTGGGGGGAGAGTTTGCCCACCCTACCCCGGTTAACTGCTAGCGACTGACAGGCGGGGGACGGCCGAGACAGACAAAGAGAAGCTGAGGACTCTGGGGTCTTCAGGCGGGGGTCGCGCGAGCCGGTGATTTTAAAAGAAAGGCGCTTTTCCCCTAGATATTTAAGTGAGGGGTCTCGGCCTTCCCGGCCGCAGCCCTAGGAGACTCCTCCGCCTCCGGGCAATCCAGGACCCAGGGACCCTGCGAGCGCGGGACCGGGAAGCTAGGAACACGGGGGACCGCGGCTGGGAACGAGGGATCCGCAGGAAATCATGTTTCGGGATTCCCACGGGAGAAGGGTGGCTCGCACCCGGCTTCCGCCGCCGAACGAGACCGTCTCGGGGTCTAGGGGGGAACGCGCGGCTCCGGCCCAAGCTGACCCCAGGAGAGAGGGAGGGGTGGAGAGGAGGAAGAGGAGTGGTAGCGTGAGCAGACCCGAGCGAACCGAAGGGGGAGGTCTCAGGGAGGGAGTGACCGGGTGGAGATCCGAACGCTCCCCTCCTCCCTCCCTGACGCGAGGGCAGACAGGTGGAGTCCCCTCCGTCCGCCCCACCCAGGCCGGCGACCGCAGCTTTCCCAGCGCTGGGTTCGGGTCTCGGAACTTTGTTTGGGGTGCAGCGTTCGGATCCGGGCGGGAAGGCGGGAGAGGGGCCGGGGGCGGGGGGCCGAGGGCTGAAGCCCCGCCCACGTACCCAGGTCAGACCCGCGGGGGGAGGGGGTAATTTCCGCTCGGCGCTCGGGGAAGCGAGGGGCGGGAGCTGCGAGGAGGGGGCGGTGGCCCCTCCCCCCTCCCGTTCCTGGGGAGGGGGAAGCGGATCCGCCCTGGTCCCTTTCCTCGCCTTTGACCAACTCGCTCCGGATCCTCCGGCCCCGGGAGCCCGAGGGACGGACCCGACTGGGCAAGGGGCGACACGTGGGCGGTCGCACCCCGTCTCGGCGGTGGGGGAGGGGGCAGTTCGCCGCGCGTTTCGGAGTCCAGGATAGGCGGCGGAGAGCGGGACGCGCGGTCCACGCGCAACCGGGATCCCGGGCCGAGTGGCGGGCGAGGGCAACGAGTTCCCAGCGGAGGGGGCTGGGACGGCGCCGGGGGTTGGGGGGTGGCGGAGAGCGTAGCCCGGGTACCCCGGAGCCCCCCTGGCCCGGGGACCGGGGAAAGAGGGGGTGGACCCCCAGTAATGCCAGACTCTCCCTGAACTGGGCGGAAGCTCGGGTTTTGCTCGGGGTTCTGCGGGTGGGAGAAACAATTTTGTCGGGGGCACGCGTGCTGCGAGGGCAGGTGAGGAAGGGGGTCACTCTCCCTTTCCCCGTCCCCGACCCCATTGTCTCAGTCGCCTGCGGCCCGGGCCGACTCCGCAACACGTGTTGGCTGCACTGATAGGAATGCCTTGGATTTTTTTTTTTCTTGTTATTATTTTTTATTTGCAGTCAGTGAACTGACTCCCGACTTGGGCGCCCCGCTCTTCTGCCAGACGATTTTATACCGTTCAAAAAGTCGGGAGTTAAAAGACCACACGCCGCACCTTTGTCCCCCTCCCGGTTTTCCCCGCGCGCTGCAAAGAAATGGGGCTTGGGCGTGGGGGGAGGGCTTCCAACTCGGTTTCTCCATCTCCACCACCTTCAAAACCCAGTCTCCAAATCCGCGTTTTGTTCTAGCCAGCCACGTGTTTGTCGGATTTGGGGGTTTGTGATTTTTTTCTTTGCATGGGGCGACAGAAAATACTATGAGCTGTTAGTTGCTGAGTAGAAAAAGAATGTTTTCTAGGCAAGAAGGTGGGCGACGTCTGTATCCTACCCCCCCACACCTCCGGCCCTCCCCCCTCCCCCACCGTTTCTGACTCTTAATATTTAGTCAGCTCTTTGACCATAATTTTCACACAAACCAACGAGCTGGAAACGGAGTCTGCCACATAGTAGGCATTCAATAAACATTTTTAAAATGAAAAAACCAGCTAATACAAACTGCAGGGCAAAGAGAATTCAGAGAAAAATTGAGAGTCCAGGGGAAAAAAAAAAAAAAAAAATCTTGCCAGAATGTGTGTCTGTTGCCCGGGGACTTTCTTGGTGATGTGTGTGGACTTTTGAAAGGGCTCAAAGATGGTCTCAGAAAGGCTGTTGTATTCCTTGGCCTCTTCCTAAAAAGGAGCCCCAATCTCCTGAAATCCTTTCTGTTATATTGGGGAACAAGAAAGAGGGTCCTAGGCAGGGCACTGCAGTTCCCAGAAACTTTAAGTGCTGTTTCCTTCATTTAATTTAAATCTCTAAGAATTAATAGAAGCACCTCTCAGGGTTTCTCCCTGGGGAACATGCCTACTACTCTATCTCTTTATTCCTAAAACAAAAGCAAGTTACACCCCACAAAAATTTCCATCCAGACCTCTAAACTCCTGTAAAATGCAGTCCACCTTTTCCTATCCTAGATTCAAAGGGAAACAAAAATTGTAAAAGTAATAATTGAATTCAGTTCACTTTTAGATTTTTTTTCCATGTAAAAAATATAAAAGAAATAGACTAGAAGTTAGTTGAATTTAGTTTCTTTTACATGTTTTAAAATGACAGTAGGGGAGAAAATACACATTTGTGAAAATAAAAATTTACCAACTATTGCTAAATTGAAACTGGTTAGTTCTTTTAAAAAATCAGATGTTTCAGTGAATTCTAATCCTCCCCCCTGCCCCCACCAAGGGCTTCTGTGTATAGTCAGAGGCTGCAAGAACACAAGAGAGCGGAGACAGCTGGGGTGAGATGCAGACCTTTTTAGCCCCCAAATCAGTTTTGCCTCAGTGATCTGGCTATTTTAGGCTGGGGTTGGGGGCACTGAATGATGTTGACTGGTGCTTCATCTCCCCTCTGAGTGAGCCCAGCACTAAAATTAACCTGAGGGTAGGGTTATTTCTTGTCAAGACTCACATTCCTAGGATAGGGATAGGAATGGGCCAGCTTGGAATGCCATGCCACAATTTATCATTCCCCTTTTCTGCCTTTTCTTTTGTTATTAAAGACAACTAATAAACATTGTATTTGTTTTCCTTTTTGTTTCTACACAGCTTTTTTGAGAAAGATTGATCATCAGTGCAGTATCAAACTTTGTAAGAATTAAAAATATAGCTGCAGAATAAATTATTTTCTTTAATAACATTTTTATTTTTATTATTTTATTCCACTTATTTACTATCATTGGTATTTTTTTGTTTTGTTTTGTTTTGTTTTGTTTGTTCTCCTCTTCCTCTCTCTCCTTCCTCTTCATTTTTCCTGGAGAAGTGTTTGGTCTAGTTAACAGGATTCAATTCTCTGAATCCAGAAACACTGAAACTTGACTCCATTTTAAAGATGGGATTCTCATCTATTTTCCTTCAATGTGGACATACAAATTCAGAGAGAAAAAAAAAAAACCCAAAGACAGAAAACAACTTTTTTAACAAAATGGAAATATGACATGAGAAAATCAGCAATTCCCTTGTCCTAGAGTATTAATTTTATTTTTAAATGTTTCTTCCCAATATTTGTCCATTGCTAATAGTTTGAGATTTTGTCATCTTATTTGTATATCTTCATTTTTCACTTGCTGTTCTACTGTTGCTGCCTCAAAATTTTCATAACTGTCATTTTTCACCAACGTGTAACATTTAATCCAGTAGATGTGAGTTAATCATTAATCGTTATTTTTAGATATATAAGTTACATCGATTTTTTTTAAACTTTTGTAAGTGCTGAATAGTTATTTGGGAACATATAACTTTTTCTTCTCTTAAATTAGCTCATTTGAATAAATCCCCAGAATATAAACTTCTTTTTTAATCATATATTTGTCTATGACTTCCTATATTAAAAGTTCACATTTTACAAAAGGGAGGACACAAAAAATTGGAAAGCACTTAGGAGGGAAATATATTAAAATAGAACTTTTCTGTGTTTTATTTTCTAATGAATCCTAATCAATTTTGAAATAGAGTTATGGTTTCTATGAAATATAGAAAAAGAAAGAATTCACATTTATTGAGACAGGGCTACTTAGACTTCACAGTTCTTGGAGGAATTTGTTTTTTGTTTGCTCGGGTTTTATTTATTTTGCTGTTGTTTGCTTGTTTTTTCCTTGTTACTGCCTTGGGATATTTTGTTTCTGCCAGCAACTTGAAGTCTTGGTGTGGTTCTTTTAAATGCCCATAAACTTTGAAGAAGTGTAAATGAGTCCCAATTTAAAAGCACATGAAGCATTTTCTCCTGTCAAATAAATAAGGATAATTATGTGTTTAAGATAACTCATAAAATGTAAGGGAATTGTAAGCAGCAAAGGAAAATTTCCTCCTTCAAATTATTATTGAAAAGTGTTCCATGTTGAAGACCTTAAAAAGAAATGTGTTTAAAAAGACTCAAAGACAAAAAAGAACTTTAAGAACAATCATCTGTTTTTCTATGGGTCACACAGCCTGTGTGACAAAACTGCTCAGTGTTTTGTTTTGACTCAGGTTGGCGATGTAGAAACCTCCAGATAAGGAAGGGAATCGTTTATTTTGTTAACTTTTGGAAAATAGATGGCTCCAAATTCAGTTTGTG